TACCATATTGAAAAATATACTATTTTTGTATGATAATTATGGGTTTTGTATTTTATTTTAATAGAAGTTGATGTTGCTTTTGCAATTATCCATCAATTTTTTAAAATTAAACACTATCTACAGATTTGCATCGAAGCGTTTCTTATGATAGTGATTTTAATCACTGTCAGATTAAATCTAGACTGAACCCAACTATGCAATGTCTCCACTATGCCGCGACCCCACTATGCTACCGTTTTTTTTTTTAATTATCATACTTAAATTTTACCAAATTGCCTCAGTTTTAATAATTGACGTATTTTAAGGGGCTTACTCTCTCCTTAAGTATTAACTTCGATGCAAAGTTCAGAAAATATTATTTTATCATAATGCACGTTTTATTTTTTGTTAGTCTGAAAATTCTCAATTCTCACTGGACCAATTTTAATAATTAATATTGTTATGACACCGACTCGCTACACCTCTTGGCCAGGGCATTCAGTATTTTCGCCTTTATAGACACGACTTATATCTTAATTAAATAAAAATGATATTAAAATTCATTAAAATTATAAAATTTCATGAGCTAAAATTTTTCAATTTGGCGCTGCTACCCTTTAGAAAAATTGTAAGCGCCTAAATTTTAATATAAAAATAGAAAATTTGTTGTAATTTTAACATATTAATTATATTATAAATAAATTATTACATTATGTACAATTAACACATGATATTATTAAAACTTAACAAAATATCTAACTCATAACAGCTAAAATGGTATTGTCTACATAATACATTGGTATTGTATGAGATATGTTTTCAATAAAAAACTATAAAACATAATTTTTATTTAATCTGGTAAAACTAATTTCGTTGGCGCCACTTGTAGTAACAATTGAACGAACATAGTCAATCTATCTAAAAATTAACAATCATAATTTATATAAAAAAAAATGAACATTATAAAATACTTTGTTCTTTGACTGATTAGGGAAAGATTATTAAATATTCATATCATATTTCACCTAACAAATATTAAAATTTGTATTTAACAATTTCTAAAACATCCGTTAACTTACCAACAATATTAAATTTATATCCCATGTACACAAAAGGTAAATAAAATATCAATCCAGCTATCATAAATAATACTGAATATAGATATTCAATTTGTGGTTTGTCAATGATAGGTGCAATCACCAAATAAAGTGAAATTATGAATATCACTAAAGGAATGATAATAGGCACCTATAAAACAAATTATCAAATTATAGAATGAAACTAAAATTAATATGTTTAAAATTTAAAAATAGATTGGTTTACTCTGTATGGTCGTGGAGCATTTGGTTTTGTGAATCGCATTACAATTAATGCAAGCATTGCGCTACCGTAAAATATCCAAGCCGTGAAACTAAAAAAATCGATTAGTGAATTTATCGTTCCAGATGCAACCATCAAGATAGTTATAATGGCCTGTAAAATTATTACCATATTAATATTTTATCTAAACTAATATTTTCAAGAGTAAGCGATATAATTAAAAGGAAATAGCATATATATCTTAATCGTTAATGGAACATTAAATACAACAGTAGCGCAATTAGGAATACGCCCAGGGGTTGGATATGCATATGAAAAATTTTACTACCCCTTCCAAACGAAGAAATATTGTATTTTTAATATATATTTATTTTTGTCGTGGGGAGTTGGTATAATACTCATTATAATTTACGTAATTACATCAGTGATATACAACTGTACTTCTATTTAACATTTATCATAAAAAGTATGAGTAAAAATAATGATCAGCTATACATCCTTCTATTTCCTGAACTTAACATGCTACAGAGGGTGGAGGTTCTCTAAAAGTAAAAGAAATACTTATGCATATAAAACATATAAGTATTAATAATATTTTCAATTATTTACTTATTTTGAAAAGAAAATTTGAAATTTAATGAATAACATTAGAAATATAAACATTCTTCTTGGAATTATAATAATTATTACTTAGTTTATTGGATAGAGTAAATCATAAAACTTTGTATTAATTCTTTCCTCCAAATTAAAATCTTAAGACTTGGAGGGTTTTAAGATTTCCTAGTTTTTGTGGTAAGCTTAATATTTAGTGTTTTGAATAAACTTATTAATAATCTAAATAAATAGAAAACGTTTTAAGAATGTTTCATTTCTCACGTGAAAAATTATACTTGGCATAGGTGTCAGCTTTTTAATATGAATGTATGATAAGACATTCATTAAATGACCTTCTCTGCTAGCAGCAAAACACAGTCTACCGGCAGCAAATAAAGTACCATTAGCTGACCCAAACGTAGATATGGTAATTGATAAAGGTATTATCCAAGCTAAAGACCCCAATGCTCTTAAACCAAACGTCTATAAAATGAATAGAGTAAATTGTTTTAAATACTTTAATGTTTGTTGAGGTTATTAAGTACAAACCACAGCAACAGCTTCATTTTGTATTATTTCGGCTGGTGACATTATGGTGAGGTATGCAACATTCACTAATAAGTAACATAATGTAACTAGTGGTATGCTAATGTAGATTGCTCTTGGAATGTTTCTAAAACAAAAAAAAACAAAATTTAATTTGATTCTAACTTTTTTTTTCATAAAACATACTTAGAAGGATTTTTAATTTCTTCTGTAACGTAGTTAAGATTATTCCAGCCATCATAAGCCCATAATCCTGAGTAAAATGCAGTGGCTATATCACCAAAACTTGAAGTAGTATTTTCGAAATAATTTTTAAAATTATCTGTATTCCCTTGAAATATTTTATGTATTCCTCCAGCAACGACCACAAAAACGGCAACTAATTTAGCAGCAGTAAATGCATTTTGAACGCCAGTGGCAAGATTTACACTGTAGCAATTTATATACGTTATAACCACTAAAAACAATTTATTTAAATTTAAGTTTTAAACGAATAAAATTCAATTCTTAGACTGAATTTTTAAATATATAATTTAAATAATGTTGTTTTGATATTTAAAGTAAATAATAATTGAAGTAATAAAAAATAAAGATAAATGTTAACTTTAAGCAAAGCTAATGGAGTATTGCTATAAGCTAATGACCAATTATCTATTAGCATTTTATTAAAACTGAAATTACAATGTTTATTGTATAAATTTGTTTAAGTATATAAATTAAAAATTAAATTAAATCTATAAAACTTAAAGTGTTAATAATAAAGCATTAAAATATATTCACAATACACAGATTTTTTGTGGCTCATAAATTGTAGTTACTTTAATATATATTTTTTTTAATTTAGATATTATAGAATTAACTTAATTTTTGCATTATATTACTAAATAATTTTAATTTTTTATAAATAAATAAATTAAATGATTTTGCTTCTAACAAATACTATTAGAAGTACCATAATGCTTTAACATTAGGAAAGATATAATTATTGATTAACTATGGTTTCATAAGTTATAAGAATATCTTATAAATATAAAGAGATTCAAAAAAAGTACGTAGTAAGTCAAATATTGTGAAAGAAATATCGAGCTCATGTTATAAATAAATTCACGTCACAGGACTGATAAGTAAACTGAAACGATCTACAAAAAGTAAATGACGTATAAAGTTTAAATTTCAAATGTAATTTTAAGAAAAATTTTGAATTTATTTAACGCATTGTTTTCTAAAATTATATTGAGTTTTATGAACAGTATAAAAAATGTTAAAAATAAATTTCAATTAAGGATGAGTAATTGATGGAACTTAAATATTTAAAAAAATTCTAAATTCGGAAAAATCCGATTGTTTGTTAGTATAACTTTTAATTATAACCAATAATATTACGAATTAGATTATTTTAATTTTCTAACAAGTATAAATTCTAAATAACTACCAAATATTTTTATTTTTATCTGAAAATTAATGTTTATTTTATTTTCTTAATAGTTAACTGTTAAAATTAACTTAAGTTTTTACAGTGACGGTTATAAGGGTGATAAATTTATTACTTCCCTTTATACGTGTTCCTTTTAAATATTACAGTGAAAAGTATTAAATACACTAAAGATATTGTCATTATTTTAATATTTTTACATAATATGAATATTGGAAATTTTGTATGTTTTAAAATCGTTCATTTTTTAAAATATTGAAGAAAAATTATGAACTCAACAATTGTATTTTTCAATAGTTTTGTTTATTACTGCTATCCCCTAATAAAAATTACTTATAACCACTACTAAGTTTTAATAAGTTTTTAATTGTATTACGTCAACGTACATATAGATAATATTGCTACAATTTTGACAACTAATTCAGATGTTCCACATTCATCGACAAAAGCTTCAACAGCATACTTAGCGAAGCTCAAACAAATTATTGCCACTTGTGATGGCTTGAGTATTAATGTGGATATCCAAGAAAATAGAAATGCAGGCATGGGCCCAAAAGCATCCATTAAATATGCATACTCTGCCCCTGAACTCGGGTTCATTGTACCTAGTTCTGCGTAAGCTAGAGCTCCTGTAGCAAAAAATTATTTTTTTTTTAGTAAAATTTTTTGTCATGAATTCCTGGCATCGACCATTTCCGTCTGTAACTCGCAGCCCAATTCTATTACCGTTTAAAATAGTATTCATATACTCATTTGACAAATGACAAACTGGTCAGGTAAAAATATATATTTTTAAAATAGATACATAACCATGCAACAAGCGTCAGATTTTATGACGGCTTTAAAGTAACATAATTTAGTTTACTAACCTAATAATGACATAATACCACAAGCTGTCCATATAATGAAACTTAGGCCTATTGAACCTGTTCTTATTAGTAACCCAGTTGGAGAAACAAATATTCCAGAACCTATAAATTAAAATAAAAATTCTTAAAATGTTCGACATTTTTTTTCCTATACAGTATTGTTAATCTAAGCACAAGATTGAGCCAGAGCAACTTCTAGCAATATTAATATATTAATATATACACATAAAGATAGAATGGGTTTTCTAACTAACGTATTTATATTTCCTCTTAAATAAACTAGTCTAAAGGAGTAATGTTTCTCATGGAAATAGGGTAGAATTTTATGAATTAAAAATAGCAAACTAGACCACATTATAGATATCTCATGTGTTGAGCATAGACAAGCAAAAAAAAAAAAATTAATTAATTAAGATAAAAATAATTATTTAATAATATAAAATATTATTTAGGTTCAAATAATTTTATTTTCTTCTGGATAAAATTAATGATAATATTATTATATATTAATTTGATACTTTACTTAATATAATATGAAATAAGTATTTGATTTTTATCAAATATCTACGATACATATTTAACAAAAAAATAATTTAAAATGTAATCTAAATTAAATTTTCCTGCTCGTTAATTATCACATAAGAGTATTGTGATTATTTAATTATCATCATACTAAAATAACTAATAATGGTATAAATTGTGACAAAATCTGCTTTATGCCTTATATAAAATGGACAAGAATTAAGCAATATGAATAAAAGATCAATTCTACCTACTCATAAAAATAGGATTGAAATTTAAGAACTATAGTTCACACGTAAGAACATATTCTGGGATCAGAACCCTTTTTTTCTGAGAACCGTCCTTTTTATTAGCTTCGATGCGAAGCTCAGAAGGTATTGGTTTTACTAAGATGTGTTTTTTTTTTTGTGTCTGTTACCACTTTTTCTCAGCTCTCGCCGAACCGATTTCTTTCAATGATACGTCAAAAGATCACAAATCGTATCTAGTCGAAGACATTACCCTCAAAAATTGAAAAAAATTCCCTCGTTCCCCGTAAATGGGGGAAACCTCCGAAAAAATTACAAATTTAAAAATGGCTAATTTTCGAAATTTTTTCAATTTTTTTTACTAAAAACTGCCGTAACTTTTTTAAAAATAAACATATCAATATAATTCTTCTTTTTATAGATGCATGATGTCATTACCTATCATTTGGTATATTTTTTTTATAAATCTGACTTTTTACCTGCCCACAGGGGGGGATTTAAAATGACAACTTTTTTACAAAAAATTAATTTTTTCAACTTAACTTTTGAAAGTGTTCCGGAAGGTCTGACACTTTTATATATATCTTAAATTAAAGCTAATGTAATATACTTTATTATGAAAAAAAAAAATTTCGGACTTTATTTTATCTTCATGGTGAAAATAGACATTAAACTTAATAAAAAAAATACGATTTTTGTAAAAAAATTCTTTTTTATATTTTTAACTTTATAATGCTATAACTTCTCGAAAGATGTATGGATCAATATAATTCTTTTTTATGTAGATGCGTGATGTCTTTACCTATCATTTGGTATATTTTTTTTATAAATCTGACTTTTTACCTGCCTACAGGGGGGATTCAAAATGACAAATTTTTTCACAAAAAATTGACTTTTTCAACTTAAATTTTGAAAGTGTTCCGGAAAGTCTGACACTTTTATATATATCTTAAATTAAAGCTAATGTAATATACTTTATCATGGAAAAAAAAAATTTCGGACTTTATTTTATCTTCAAGGTGAAAATGGCTACCAAATGCTATTATTGTGTGAAAATTCTCAATTTTATTTTTTACATTTTTAACATTATAATGCTATAACTTATTGAAAAGTGTATTGATCAATATAATTTTTTTATGGGAAATACTATTTTTTAATAATCCCTTTTTCATTCGACATACTTTATCTTAATCAGGATATTAATAAGGAACTAGCAGTTTATGAAGCTTTTGGAATAATCCACCAATTTTTTAAAATTAAACACTATCTAAAGATTTGCATCGAAGCGTTTTTTTTTTATAGTGATTTTAATCACTGTCAGATATCATTATACTTGATCCAACTATGCCACGTCACCACTGTGCCGCGACCCCCCTGTGCTGGGTTTTTTCTTACATAATTCCTAGACGAGCACTGAGCCAATATTTGGTCAGAAACTGACCAAATGTTAGATATCACTACATTAATAGGCAGATTTTTTTAGTAGAAAAAGAGTCAGAACTTGGATGGACCATTTTCATAGATAGGTTTTTGTTGAATATATCATTCCTTTTTTTGCTTAATCCAAGTAAAATATATAATTTTTATGAACTACTAAAAATAAAGAAAAAAAGAAGAAATCCAACCTGATATCCGCAAGTAACACACTTGTCTGTAAAACCATTTATTTTGAGAATATAAAAATTTTAATTTTCCTACAAACAGGAAATCTAACTTTTGGGATCATCTTCGTATTTAGCATTTGGTACATGATAATATAATTGCCTTGAAGGGGATAAACCCTTGCGTTGAAAAAGAAATTAATAGGTTTGTGACCCTATAAAATAATTATAAATATAATAATAATAGATGTAATATATATTATTTAAAAATTGAACTTTTGAATTCCTATATATAAATTGGATTTATTTTAATTATCTTTTTCAATGAACCCTAAAGAATGCATTATAAATATATATCTACCTATGATAATTTACATAACTATAATATAAAGGAGTCCACAATATTTTAACAAATCTACAATTTTTTAGTCCAGCGATTACTAAAGTTACTTTTTTTGAAAATAATTTATGTATTCTTAAACTATGATAAATATTTTTGTTTAAAAGTGGTGTAGTCTATATCAACTTGTACGAGGTGTATCTACCAGTGTTAAATACTCACTCTATGAATTAAAATGCTTATAACATTAATTTAGAAAAAACATTATACAATTGCTTTTAATGAAATTTTTATATAAAATTGCTTCTCCTGAAAATTAAAACAAAATGGACACTTTGGTTGTTACACCCTACTCTTCAATTAGAACTTCTAGAAGTAAATTATAAGAAACTCTGCTGCCGGTTTTTAACATTTTATATCATTTTTGTGAGTTACAACAATTTAAGGATGAAATATATAGGTAACTAAATAGTTAAAAATTTCATACTATAAATTTTTGATTTTATTTACCTGTAAAATAGGCTCATTTAAAACTTATATGTGCTCTATTGCTGGAAATAGCATAAAATTATGATTCAGTTCACAAGTAGCAGATCCACGAAATAAGTACAATTTCATAACTTATTTTCTTGTTTGAAAATCGTTTTACTGTATCATATGATACGTAATAAGTTGATGAATTAATAAGTCATCAATAATACTCATTAGCTCACATTATGACAAAAACTTAGAGGGCACTAATATTATTAATTCCTAGCTGGTTCCTTTTCCAAAGAAAAGCGCTCTCACCTTAGTCCTTTGATTTATTGTAGACTTGAATTTCATATTAAAATAATTATAATAATTTTTTATAACAGTATCAACAGTATATATTTTCCAAATATATGGATTTTTTAAGTATTAAAGAGTATAAGATTTAAATGTTTACCAATCATAGTGCCAACTATTAAAGCCACCCCACTGAGGAGTCCCACCCGTCTCTCGAGGTAAAGAGTGTTGCCCTTAGTTGAAAACTTCCTCGCCAACATGTTTTTGCCGTTGCTAGTAAGTTCACTATTATCACTCTCATCTTCGGTGTTTGTTTTGTTATTATTATATCCTGTAAGAAATTACAGGATAAATAAAAAAAAGTGATTCATTTACGTTTATAAATAGACTACATTCATAACTTTATTTATATATAATAGATTGAATTTTAATATTTAGAGATTTATTTTAGAGCTTTTGACAAAATTGATTGTATGACAAAATCATAATAGACGTTCACTACATATTTTTACACTTTCGCTCAAGTTATAACGACTCTACAAATTATTTACAATGAAAAAGACAAATTGTATTAGATTATTCTTTTCGCTTTTATAAAAATAAAACCTGCTCTTATTTATATAATAGAGAAGTACAAAAAATATTTTGTTAGAAGTTGTTATTCAACTACCCCATGTCTCAATTTCGATCATTTAACAGTCTAAATATAAAATTTAATTTTGGTGATAATTATAGTTCAAATTTATATGTATACACAGTGGTCCACAATGTTTTGACAAATATAATGACTTTTGATCCTAAGAATATCTTGTGTTACTCTTTCTTTTTAATTATTATAGTTATGAAATATATTAAAATTCAGCAAATTACATAATTTTTAAGAGCTAATAAAAAATTTAAAAAATGGACCAATGCCGGCCATGCTATTTGTAAAAACGCTCCTGCCTGTATAACTGTTTATTTTTAGAAAATAAAAATTTTCAGATATTTCTATAGAACAGGAAACTAATTTTTTAGACATTTTTTTTTATTCCTTCTATTGTTAGACTAACAGTCTATGCATTAATAGAACAACAGCAATATTATTTTACACACACATTAATTCACGCAAAATTACGACATGTTTATTTAAACAAACATTCGGATAGTTTACAATAAAAATTGTGTAAATAAAGTAAAAGCTATAGTTAATTTTTTTTACAATAAGTTGAATGATGAAGGTAAGTAAACCCCTCAAAATTATTTTTAAATGTCATATTTTGAAATAAATTATTGCAAAATTTTCTATTAAGATAAATTTGTGTAGGATTTTTCAATAATAAATAAAACATTTTTACAATAAATATTCGACTTATAAAAACAATTAATAATTTATTGTTTAGCAATAACAAAATAATGATTGATGGTTTATTAGCTTTTTACATACATTGAACTAAAAGAAAACTGTTATTAATTTATTTTAATAGTTATTTTGTACAATAAATCATCTTCACTTTTATTCTTTTATTATGAACTTTCTTGAAGTAATAATCATTATTAATTTGTAAAGGCTATTGTTAAATTTTACACCACAAATATAAAATACAATCCATCTATAGTATAAAACATACAATTTTATTAGTTTTTCTTTAGGGGGGGAATTATTTTTTCATAATAATGACATCTATACATTTAAATATAAATAAGTTGATTTGTTTAAATTTTAATCAGTTAAATATAAAAACAGAATGTAATTAAGTGGTTGATTTTTACTATCTATTTACACTTACCATGTGATAATGGATTTCGTTGCATTTCAAATAATATTTGAAAATTGAAGTGACTGACTCAGCGTTACCTTTGCGACCAGACATGACACACTGGTGTTCGTAGACGGAACGACGACGGCAAAGGTCACAGCGCGCGTTTAGTTTGAGCGGCAAAACTTACAGATATTGACACATGCGCCCAGCATCCAAAAAGCGCCCCCGCAAAGAGCTCAGCACAATCTATCTTATCGTGTATGGGGTTATCGTATAATACTATTGCGTATTATAAACTTATTAAATGCATAAATAAAATAAGCTATGAAATGTGTTAAATATTAACAACAAGCTATCATTTAAATTTTATTACACCATTATACTTNGTTTAAATGCTCATAATTTTGAATGTATAATAAAAATGCATAAATAAAATAAGCTATGAAATGTGTTAAATATTAACAACAAGCTATCATTTAAATTTTATTACACCATTATACTTAAATCCTGGTTGGTATTAACAATTTTTTCGATTAAATAATTATTTAAAATAAACTATAAGAAAAATAATATTTTATTGGGATCAAAATCAGTGGCTATCAATGATTTTATCATTGGAGGGGTTGAAAATCACCTTTTATAAACAACCAACATAGGACTAAGATTTGAATTTTAACCTTAAGAATTTTAAAATGATATTTTTCATACTAGCTATATTCAAAAACTTTAGAATAGCAATATATTTCTAAAAATGTATGCATTTTCATATTATTTAAACATTTTAAAAATATATCTTTCATCGTGAGAAACTCAAATCCGCTCCTGTTTGACTACTGCTGTTTAATATCAATATAGAAAAAATAGTCAGTTATTCTCAAAAATTAAAAACATAATAATGATTTATATAATTATATATATATTAGGGCGTATCTAAATTCGTAAAATGCAATTATGACTTTTATTAATGAATTTTGTTAAAGCCGAGTGATAAATTGTCAATTAGTACAATAAAAAAGAAGTGTGCGAAATAACTCCTTCAGCTTTGAGTAATCGATTGAAGAATTAGCACTTGCAAAGCAAATTTTGAGCTAAATCGAGGTAAAGCTCGAGCATCAATAGGCAAAAGATGATGCTAAAAAATGATAATATGTAATGATAAAGCGTGGAAGGGGAGATAAAGGGACATTCCAAAAAACACGATAGTTCCGAATCTGTCGTATGAGATCATATGAAGGGTTGCGCTGCACCCCTAGCTGTAAACTATGACATTTAAAATTTTTTTTGTAACTTTCATAATAAATTTATTATTGAATAATATTTTTTGAAGAAAAAAAACTTTGTTTACATTATTATTTTTCGAAATAATATTGTGTACAAGAGAAAAGGGTTTTTGAACAAATTGTCTAATTAAATTTTTAAACAATCCGAATTATTTTAAACAATTTTTTTTAATATTTGCAAAAGGAAAAGTTTTTTCTAAAAAAATCTCAATCGATCTAAAAATAATTGTTATTAAAAAAATGATTTATTTGAAAATATTATTTAAAAAAATCATCAACTTTAATGATTCGTTTGAAATACTTACGTCTCACAAGTATCAAATGTGTTTGACATATTTTAATGAACGCGTGCATAAATGTGTTTTTTACACGAAGGTCAATGTTTTTGTTAAATGTTTAGAATTCGAGTTTTTTTCTGATCGCCGCAGTTCCGGTGCGTGTACTCATTGTATTTTTTTCCACTTAATTAATACTTTTTTGAGATAATAACCACAATTTTCTAAACTTATGTATTAGATATAAATTAACACTATTAATTTAAAACTAAAAAATATTCTAAATTCAATTCAAAAATCCACAATGAAATTACAAAAAAAATTTGAATACAAAGGAATAAGTGTATTACCTAACGTTTTCTAGCACTAATAACCAGAGTAGTAAATTACATTATTAGATAGAGAATTTATTTAAGAGTTCTTTTTTGTGTATTAACTCCTGTAAAATATAAAAATTGTGGCAATCCTAATACATAAATATATAACAAAAATTGGTCACTTGTGGCTAATATTATTTGCAATTAATATTATATGAAAAATATTAAATTAAAATTGAAAATATATAACTCAAAAAGCTACAAAAAAATCGGGGATATGTATTTCGGGAATAATGTCACAATTATCAATGCTTAACACACGTTGACACCCCAACGAAATAAACCTCTAATATACCCTTAGTGGTGTTATCATATAGTGTAATTATCACCAAGTAATATTATCAAATCTTTCCAATTTACACAAGTTAATAATAAATTTTTCTTATTTTTAAACATTTCTATTGCCTCCTTTATACAAAGTTCTTTGTAATTATTTACGTTTTTAATTAGTTTTATGGTTATAATGGAGTGATTATGTGTCAATAAATAGTTCAGCTACAGGAGATTTATCACTTCTTGATAGGGGTATGTATTTAGTTTTGAGTATCTCGGAGTCAAACTGTATTAATTTATCAAATAATAAAATATTCCTACCTCACCTTCTTTTATTCATATTTATTATGTGATTTTTTTTAAGGAGAAAAACATGCAAATAAAAATTCTCACTTACCTTTATTTCTTTTTGTAGTTGTCTGTATTAACCTTATAGCAACTTCTCAATTCAGTGTTAACAATTGTTCACACTGTAGGATTACCAAAATTTTTTAATTTTACAGGAGATAATGCACAAAAAATACCCTTAAATAAATTCTCTATCCAATAATGAAATTTAGTACTGTGATTATTAGTGCAAGAAAACGTTAGGTAATACATTTTCCTTTAAATAAAGTACAAACAATGAATAAATGTACTCATGGAAATATTAAAATATTATCACAGAAATGATAAAAGTTCACACATTCTACGTGATTCAACAATGATACTTCAATGTATAATTAAATTAAAATCCATCTATGAATATTATTTCATATAATCAAAATGATTATAACTATAATTAAATTTTGACAGAAATTCACAACAGCAGGGTAGGATTGGTCACGGGGCAATTGCTCCCTTAGCCTCAGTCTATAGATAGATGAGGACCACTATGATAAACATAATATGGTTTGTAAAATTTTGTTAAAATTTCAGTTGCTTTAATAAAATTCCCAGACATTTAACAAATTCCCTGATAATCCCTGTTTTCCAGATTTGTGAATAGCTATCTCACCCTAGTTACGCCTATGGAATTTACTATGTTTTATATCACAATAGTAATTTAGCTTTAGAAGTATCATTTTCTTGGTTTAACTTCTTCTCATCTAACCAATTTACTCTAATTAAATGACTGAAAAGAAGTAATAGACAATTGTTTTAAAATTATAATCCCACTTATATTAATACATTTACCATTTTATTATAAAAATAAATCGCTATATTTATTTATTGATTAACCAATTTTTATTTTATAAATTGGTTTTGGTCTAAATATTTCAATATGTTTAAAATATAGATTTTAAAACTTTTTTACGTTACTTTAAACTTTAATTATATATCATATCATTTTATTAGAAAATTAAAATAATTTATTGCTCATACAATTGATTTTATGATTTGTATTCTTAATTCTTTATAATAATAACAATATTTTTATTAAAAAAATATTTTATACTCATAAGTTTTACAGTATTATGTGAACAAAACAAAATCGTTAGAACCGAACAAATAGCGTAAATATACAAATTAATAGCAATGTGAAAAACATAACTGTCTCTTTTCCAGTTTGATTAAAATTTAAAAAAATGTTTCATAGAAATTCAGGGAAGCTCTTGGATTCCTAAGCCAAAAAATATGCAAATGCATGAACTTACGAACCCCAATTATAAATATTTTATAGATAAACTAAACGTTATAGGGTCATCCAATTAGTAATATCATCGAGTATAAATAGTTAACTATCTATACTCAATGGTAAAACGTTAATTCATTATTTTATTGACAATTTTGAGTAAAAAACACACTAAATATAAGTATTTTTCAAATATTTATAAAGTATGAGATAATATGTTTTTAAGAATGTTCATAGATTTCATTTTCAAGAGGTATTTTCGTTAATAGTACTATTTTTCTAACAGATTGTTAAATTGATTTATTTAAAAGTATTTATTTAAGTACATGATTATTTTTTTATTATGTCAATAAAATGTTATGTTTACACTGAGTGGTACATAACAACTAATCGTAATTATTCATAAAAACATAATTCATATAATGCTTGGAATGATAAATTTACTTCAGACGATTAATAACAAAATGAATACTCTTATTATTATAACACAGTTGATATTATTCATTCAATTTACGTCTACATTTCCATGTTTTGAAAATCAAGAATAGTAAGTATTTCTTTTTGTTTGTTTAAGACATTTAATCACAGAATAGACGCAATTAGACCAGATATCTGTAAATACTAAAAACTGGTTATATTTATAGATATTTAAATGAATATTCACCCACGTCTCTTATATAAGTACACAATACATAGAGGTGTACAATAATATCAGTAATTCATTTCTTTCATAATAAATGATTATTTTTTTAATTTCATATTTATTTTATGTTTTATACATATTCAAGCATTAATTTCCTAACATCAGGTCCACCATGTACCCGACTCTGTGTATGAACCCCAGTTGGGACTCCAGAGTCCCATTCCTGAACCTACACCTCGCACGAGAAGAGTGTGCAGAGCATCGTCTGCCTTTCCCAGGCAAACCGAGCAGTGGTCGCATTTCGTGGCCGAACATGACTTGCGTGAGACGATAAGTCAACTCATTGTATACAGACCACCCTATCCAACTGGTTGGATATGATGAGATACCTAATCCACTCTGCCTCTCATTAGCACTAAGAGGCGAGTTCGCTACTGAAACATGGTCATACGCCTAAAAGATAGTTGGTCCTCGGTATCAAGGAGACAGTCGTGTTCCCGGTAGGTAGCAGTGACGACAGGCATTGTCGTCACTGGCTATTCATGATCTTTTGGCTTGTTACGAGTTATGTGCTGACTGAACATCAGACATTTATCGATGATGAGGCCGAGATAGATCATGAAGTCTTTCAGCGGGATCTCCGTTTCTGTCATGGTGATCCGAGGAGGAATGAACTTATACCAGCTGACAAACAAAACTACTTCGGTCTTGTCAACAGCCAAGCTAAAGACAGTCCCCTCCTGATGGATCCCGCCGCTGACAGCTCTAAATGCATCACTGCCAGGTGATCACTACCGCTGGCAGAGAAACGTGGAACACCGAAAAACCAAGAAAACATTATAATTTGTTATTCACTAGAATGAAAAAATACTTAGGGCTAGTTTAACGTTAGTATCTTTGACCGGTACTACCATTTTTTCAATGCTATATAACAATAAATGGAATCCTATCAAATTAAACCTTCTTTTTTAGAGGCGCAATAAGAATTGTTGTATCAAATTTATTCATTTTATGTAATATATCAAAATACGTGTTATGGAGGTCACTTAATTAAATTTGACATTATTTTTCCAATATCCCCCTTTTTATGGGTTTTTAATCAAGCTACTAGATAACATTTATTTCAAACTTTAACTAATTTCTTTTTAGCTTCGATGCGAAGCTGAGAAGGTAATGGTTTTACTATGATGTGTTTTTTTTGTGTCTGTTACCACTTTTTCTCAGCTCTCACCGAACCGATTTGTATCAATGATACGTCAAAAGATTACAAATCGTATCTAGTCGAAGACATTACGCTCAAAAATTGAAAAAATTTCCTTCATTTTCCGTAAATGGAGGAAACCTCCAAAAAAATTATAAATTTAAAAAACGCTAATTTTCGAAATTTTTTTACTTAAAACTGCCATAAATTTTTCAAAAATGAAAAAATCAATATAATACTTTTTTTTATAGATGCTTGATGTCTTTACCTATCATTTGGTATATTTTTTTTATAAATTTGATCCTTAACCTGCCCATAGGGGGGGATTTAAAATGACAACTTTTTCACAAAAAAATTACTTTTTCAACATAACTTTTGAAAGTGTTCCAGAAATTCTGACACTTTTATATATATCTTAAATTAAAGCTAATATAATATACTTTATTATGGAAAAAAAAATTTCGGACTTTATTTTGTCTTCACGATGAAAATGGCTACCGAATGCTATTTTTGTGTGAAAATTCTATTTTTTTAGATATACATATGTTTTACAGTTTAACTACTATTTTGAAAAAAAATTATAAAATACAAATATTTTCGCTAATAACGTGAAATATTATATACTATAGACTTGAATACTTCAAATACTTCATCATGAACCATTTGGCAATTTCGTACAATCGTACAATTGAACGGTGACATCTACTAGTTCACCATGATATCTAATCAGACCTTAACTATTAACTGATTAAATTCAATTTTGTACTGAACTATTGATATCAAAAAATGATGTAATAAGCAAAAGAAACCATAATGTAGTTTCACCAGGCCAGAGTTGCGATCTGATGACAGGACAACAAGGAACTTTTCCGGAATTACAATGGCCCAACAAGTCATTGGATAGGGGTAGGGGCATCAGAATAAATTTACTGAGGTTGCCAAAAAGCTAAATAGGATACTGTATGAAATAAAAGAATCTCTTTCTATAATTTTATTCAATTAGGGGCATCATCTGGTAAACTTTATGAGGATTGAGACGAAATTAAAGTATTTTTGTCAATTAGTTTGGAAATAATTGGAACAAATTGTGTTTTAACTTAGGAGTGCTCCATTTCCAAAGACTAAAGAAAAATTTTTTCACTACACTCGAAATCATGAATCCACCTTATTTTTATCTATTAATTTTTTAATTCTATTAATTAATATCTATTAATTGATTTTACCTACCTGTGTAATGTTAGAAATGAATTGATTAATATTCATAATATGACTAATATATAATACAATAAATCTAATAGTAATAGACAAAAAATATATTTTTTAATAATTGTTATTAATATCAAACTCGTATCAATTTTTATTTATAACCTTAAACATAATGATGAACAAGTAGCATAAAAATAAATTATAACTAAGTTAAAAAACTAGATATAACTAATATCTTTGTTGTTCAACAAAGTGTAATACTCATTTATTTAAAAATATTCAGTTTGGTAATGGCTATTTCTGTTTATTTCCATATTAAAAATGTGAAAATAAAATATGCATGTACCTATCATATAATATTAACTAATTTTTAGTTAATATAAACCCACCTCCCAAAACATTTTACTAAACTTCATATGCATTCGTATTATAATATATATAATAGAGATTTTAATCACTGCCAGATTTATTTTTACAAATACTACTTTAAATTATGCCTGGCACTTACTATATTATGTTCAGACTCTACTGCTATTTTTTTTTTTACTATAATAATTTAGTTTTATGACTGAAATTTTTATCAATTATTTACTTCCAGAAAGCAAATTTTGAAGCAATTATTATTCTTTTACGATTTATTGAGGGTAATTGCGGCTACTTCCTGAGGGATTTCTTAACCATGGATATCCCGAGACTAGTGGTTAAACCGTCGCAGGAGAGGGGATAGCAACTCCAACTTCTGAACTGATATCTTGTTCAATAAATGGGGAGTCATCCATTTCATAGTCTAGAATTCGAGACAATTTCTTCAATATACGAATCGTATAATCAGAGATATAATATAATTTTATTAAAAATTGTACAAGTACTTACGTATCACATTTTCTTTAATAACTCATTAACATTTTATAATTGTAAAAATTTAACTCATCAATACATAAAATTAAAAAAATATCAAATTTATTATTTATTGTTTAAAATATCTAATTTATTTCGATGAAACCAAATTATTTTAATATTTCACTTATATTTCTACCACGTTCCCATTGGTTAATTATACCAAAGATGTTCCAAGTACGATAATACGAGTTTTATAACAGGTCCTCTTGATTATTAATATTTATAATCTACTGGTGGTTAGTTAAATTTTTACCAATTGATAAGATATCGATGAAAATGAGTTTGCGAAATTTTGTAAAGGTTATCCGGCACTCTGTGTGTCAACATATTTTTTTTGCACGAAAATTACGTGTTACAAATCATTCCTATTTTAATATTTTACCCAAACATTTTAGTACAATGTCCTATCAAATTGAAGAAAAAGGATCTTTTAATACACCAGATTATCGAGTTTATATAAGTATGTAAAATTACGGGTTTTAAATTTTTCTAATATTTTTCAGTTAATTAATAGTCATTAGTGTGGTTATATTGATGGAACAATTTAAGATAAGGACTTATAGTGTTACAAGCATTTTAATACATGAAATTGCATTATTAAAGTGTGCATTATAAATATACACCAGTATAAGTTGTACCTACACACTATACCTAACCACTCAATGTATTAAAATGCTTGCAACACAATAAATACTTATTCTTAAATTGTTATTGACTCATCAACATTTTTTTAAAAAATCTCAAGAAAAAGTATTTTGAAATTTCAAAAAAATTAAAAGAATAATTTTTTTTTTTTGTTATTAAGAATAAATAATAAAAACATGCTTTTAACATAGTATAAGAATGCAAAAATTATTTTTAAAAAATTACAGCGAAATAATTATTGAATCAAAAGTGTTAATAGTAGGATCTGTTCCACTCTGTATATATAAATGTACAGCTATATCATTTGATATGTTTGACCTTTTGACACGTGTGTCAAATAATATTAAACTATTAGGATCTTTTGCTTACAACTATCAAATATCTTCAGATTAATTTTTTAACATTATTTTATTCATACAGAACCATTATGTGTTCAAAAATTTGTTAAATATGTTACTACATAATTTTTAGACTACCACTTAATATTTTCATAATTATTAAATATTCATTAGAATTATTTAAGTATTAATTTTTAACTATTTAATTTTTTGTTATGTCGTAAATTATTTAAATGTAGGATTCTCTTTTGATTTTATCTTCTAGGTTTTTTTTTTAAGCACAATTTTTACAATTTTGAAGAATAAAGGTGAAAATAATTTTGATTACACTTTAAATAAATCCTTATAGTAATAACTAATTTGGGTTTAAGGTACTATTTTCAGTATTAATTACTGTTGATTAAATGTCTGTTTTTGCATTGCATATATTTAGAAAATGGAACAGAAGTTGTTTCACCATTCCATGATATTCCTTTGTTAGCTGACTCTACAGAAAAAGTTTTTAACATGATCGTTGAAATTCCAAGATGGTCAAATGCAAAAATGGAGGTAAGTAAATAATTTTCTATTTCAAATTATTCTTAAATATAGTAGTGTTTGTAGTAAATATTTAAAAAAACGGAACATTTAGATAGATACAAGTGCACCCCTTAACCCAATTAAACAAGATACGAAAAAAGGAAAATTACGTTTTGTAACCAATGTATTTCCACATAAAGGATATATATGGAATTATGGAGCATTTCCTCAAACATGGGAAAATCCTGAAATTTTAGATGAGCATACAGGATGTAAAGGAGATAATGATCCAATTGATGTTCTTGAAATTGGATACAAGGTAAATTAATATATATATTTGTCTCATATTCATTAAAAACTAATATTAATATAGTTTACTGGATGTTCTATTTTTTAACTATAAATATATTAATCTTTTATATTGATAAGTTTTAATTTTATCATTAGCTATATAAAAAAAAGCTATATATCTAAAACCTAACCAGTAGTATATCTTTCTTATTTAATACATATTGTAATAATTTAATGACTTAAAACTCATAAGTTCTCTATAAATATCAAATTTTAGTGAATAATAGAAACTATTAGTTGTAAAAAAAAAACCACTATCAAATAAAAAATGTGTTTAGTTAAAAAAAGTAGCACACTTTATTATAAAGTGGTCTATATCAGCAATTGATAAATTATTGACAATTTTTAATTTACTATATTTTAATCTAATAATACATGGAAAAATGTTGAAATTGTTTTTTTATTTTATAAATGACTAATAACAAAAAATTAATTACCAAGTATTTAATAATATACAAATTTGAACTATTAAAATTTTTAAGGTCCGTAATCGTGGTGAAGTTGTACAAGTTAAAGTATTGGGAACAGTTGCTTTAATTGATGAAGGTAATTTTGTATAAGAATATTTTGTCGAAATATATCTATAAACAAACATCCCTACTAAAAAAATTGAGAGTATAGATAACTTTTTTTGTTAATTTTTGAATTTTTTTTTTATAATATACAAAAACATAATTAAAAATTAACTATAAAAAAAATGTTATTCATTTAGGTTTTATATCTTCTTTTCATTAAAAGAATTTTAATTATCTATAAGGGCAGACAGCATTCACTGACAACTTAAATAACTTTTGATCCAGTTAGTTTTTGAGTAATTATATCTCAATAATTCATTTTTTTACATATTATTAAAAATATTAATTATTTTTAAATTTTAAATAAAATGTAAAAAAAAAATCTCAAATAGCTTTTTTGTACAGTAGATTTTAAGAAAAATTTTGGTAAAAATATTTCTTATTAATATTCAATATTAAATATTCTATAGAATTTTAAAGTTTGTGAAAATTTGAATTTTCATGTATAATTTTATGGTGTAAAAATTAAAATACGTTTTGAGAAAAGGACAGAAGAAAGTACTATCTTTTCATGATTACTATAATTTGGAGGGTGTAACTTTTTCCATGAAAATTACTTTCGTTTTTGAACGAGAGTGATTAGTAATAATAACTAATACAAGATAAATTATTTAATTGGCTTACTAATTAAGAATTGGGTCATAAGTTTTAATTCCATTAGGTATGAGAGTAAGGAAATATTTAAAGTTTGTCAATTACAATGTATTATTTCACGAATTATTTGATAATTGCCTTATCGAATTTCTTATCATCATATTAATACCAATTTTGTAAATATAATTGACCCTATACTTAGTATGATATAAATCTTGACTCCTGATATATCAATTCTAATTTTAGTTAGAATAAGTATTTATGATATTAATAAGTATTAAGTAACAGGTATTGTTCGTGTTTTGATTTGAATTATAGCCAGTCATTGAAATGTAATAATTTTCATAGAAAAATCCATACTCACTATATATTTAGCGTGAAAAGATTGTGTTTACTTCAGTCCTTTTTTATAAAACAAGCCAACGTTTGATACCGTAGAATAAATAAACAAATTAGAATTTTTACAAAAATTAAAATGTTACAGAAAATTAATTACAAAACATTAATGAGAAATTTTTTCACTAAATTATTTCTTAAAATTTATTCCGAAAAACGGATATTTTGATTTTTTTTAAACATTTCTCATAAATTTTTAAAATTATAATATTTATTTAATCATAAAAATGATATTTATTACATTATTATTATAGCCCTCAAGTATATTAAATATTAAAAAAAAAAAATTAACAATAAATATTAACTGGATCAAGAATTATTAAAGTTGTCAGTGAGTGCTGGGCCATTCTGTATAGGTGAAGTACATCTAACTACCTTCTTATAACTCTTGATTCAATAATCATTTCATGTAATTTTTTTTTTTTTTTTTTTGGTAAAAATTCTTCTGAAAGATGGGTTTTCACTAAACTGACTATACTGATACATCAGCATAATAAAATATTTAATCAAGATATTTTTAAAATTTATTGGGACATATAAGGTAATTCTTTTAACATTAGCTACTCATTATATTTTAAAATAATAATTTTTTTTTTTTTTTGACTCATGTTAATTAATTAACATATCCATTTATCTAATATAAAATATGTTTAAATAACTTTATACCTTATAAGGTTGCTATAGTAACAGACAAAAAAAGTATAATAAAATATGAATGAAGAAAAAGAATAAATAAGAGAATTAATCGGGTTGTGTTAGGGTTAATTATACTCAGTTTTACACAAGAATTTTATTCAATTATAGGTGAAACTGATTGGAAAGTTATTGTAATTAGTATTGATGATCCAATGGCTGCTCAAGTTAATGGTAAGCTAACTTTTTTATATAATTTATTTGTTTATATTTGTTAAACTTTAAAAAGTATTCAACTGTATTGATGGTAAAAAAATACTTTTATTCCTATTACAAGATAAGTTTGAATAATTTGTTTATAAATTATTCTAAGAATCTATATATTTTTTTAAACTTATTCTGAATTTTTTATTTTAGATATCAAAGATGTTGATAAACATTTCCCAGGTTTACTTAAAGCCACGGTTGAGTGGCTAAAACTTTATAAAATTCCTGATGGTAAACCAGAAAATAAATTTGCATTTAATGGTGAACCAAAAGATTCTGAATTTGCCCTAAAAATTATAAATGACACTCATGAATACTGGAAAACCTTATTACAAAAAGAAAATACTGATGGTTTATCATGGTAATAAATAATGTTATGATAATAGGATTAGTATTATAGACACATCAACTGTAAAGAAGTTTTTGTAATGATATGCTCTTGATATCTATTGATGACCTTTGAAATTAATTGGTTTCATTAAATATAGATAAGAAAAAGCTTAGAATTATATCAAAAATTCAGCTAACGTGGCTAAATTTGAACTTGAGATCTATTGATTGCTGGTCATATATATTCTACTCTTCGAATAACTAATAAAATTATAAATTAAAATTTTATTTGTGTTTTAGTGTAAATACAACATTGAAAAATAATTCAACTATTGATTGTGAAAAAGCCCAAGAAATACTTGGTCAAAATCCACCATTGTCTGAGTCTTATCCATTAGACCCAGAAGGTAAGTTACACATTTAAGTTAATAATTAAATTTTCAGTTTCTAGCTATTATAATGTAATCTTAATAATTCAAAATTTATGTCTAAAGATCAAATATAAATTTTCATTTTTTGAAAAATATGTGATAATATACTTTATCTGCGTCTCAAATTATAAAGATCTAATTGTTTAAATATTGAGATCATTATTTATTTCAAGCATAAATTACATTTACAAAAGTTTTGATTGCAATCAAAGTGAATAATAATACTCCCTTAGGTTAAGATTTAAATTTTCAATTATTTAGTGATTTCTATGCTTTGTCTACTTTATGAGTCAAGCTAAAGAATATTTATTAAATATGTTTAACTTGTTAACTATGTTAAACAAGAGAATAAGGTGTTTTATAAAGTAAACCTAATATTGCACTTAAATACAATTCAATTTTTTGGAGTCAAAAATATAATAATTACTAATTGTACTTGCAATTTTCATTGCTGATGATGAATTTTTATCTTTGAATGATGCATAGAAAATAATGTATATTTCTTGTAAGATCTTATTTGTTAACTTTCATATCATATTTTAAATCATTATTATTTATATTGATTTTGTAGAATACTTTTATAATTGATTTATTTTGTATATTTTTGTATTTATTTATCAGTATTATGGTATTATTAATCACTGTTTTCAGTTGAAAATTGGTTTTATATAAAGATGAAGACCATTTCCAAGTTGTAGATGGATATTTATAAATTTAAATAAATATTTGTTTTTCAATTGTAAGATAATTTATTTTTTTATATTTGTTCCAGTTGATAAATGGCATTATGTAAAGTTGTAAGTGTAAATTTACATTATTTTCCATATCTGGTGAGATGCTTTACATGGGAAATAACTAATGATATCAAATTGTGATCTTAAATTTTGCTCATGCAAATATAAATGCTTAATAATAGTATTCATTTATTATATTTATTTTATTGTAATAAATTTTATGTTTTTTGCAGTATAAAGTTATTTATTTCAAATATAAAAAAACATAAGATTTTATTTTTATCCATTTTTAACAACAGCTTATTTTAGTGTCCTGCATTAAGTAATAACTTGTCCCAATTTAATTGCTATTATTAGTCTAAGAATATTAACTCATTAATAAATTAGCTTATTTTATGGCTTAATATAAATTTAATTAGAATAAATTATCAGGTTTTGCGGTTTAATTTGAATTACTATTGTTGAAAAATAAATGTTTCCAATTAGTTTTGTTTAATAATTTGGATTATAAGATTTAAAAGTTAATCTAACATCAGAAAAATTATAAAAAATTAATAAAACACTTGGATAAATAACAAGAAAAATGTCACTGAATGAACAAAATTTTAAATTCACCAAAAACTTAAAAACAGCACTAAACAAAGATTACTCAAGAATAACATACTTTTTTTTTAAAATGAAATAAATATTGTAAATAAATTATAATATTTTGTAATATTCAATAATCTGTACATTGTAAAGTAATCTAATAATCATTCTTTTCTACTAAAAAAAAAAAATAATAAATAAAAAGTCGAAATAGTATTAATTACATGTTAAACATTTGTCAGGTAGGTGTTGATTGCTTGTCGTACCCCATTTCCTCTAATAGCATTCTGCAAGAATGTATTTATTTATAATATCGGCAAATTCTTGTATATCTTTATAAAATGCATGAATGCTGACCTAGCTGTAAAGTGTTATAGCTGATTTAAGATATGTGACTGTATCATTTTACTCTTGAGCCTAATACTTTATAGTCAGTTTCTGAAAATAAGTGTTTTTCTTATTCTAAACATTCCTTATTCAACTACAACGAGTTCAATTAAACAGAAGTTTTATTATTCTGAAATATTATTTGCAATGGTGGGCATTAACTAGTTAATAAGTTATATTTTTTAATTTTCAACTTAACTAGTTAAATATATTTCTAATAAACTTTTTAACATAATTTTCGTTCAAATAACTTAGCTATTTCAATTATAATTGTTAAAATAACAGTTGAGCTAAATTAAAAATTTTATAAAAATATGTCTTTATACACTATGTACGTGGTTTAACTAAAGAACAAAATCGAATTTGCCCCTATCTCAAATATATTTATTTAACAATAAAAATAATTGTATGAATTTTTAATTACTAGTATTAAAGATAAAACAGTGCAACCAACACCAAAATGTACAAAAAAAAATTTTTGTTATCTTTAATATTTTCTTCCTATTCAGTTTTAAAATTTGAACGTTTATTCTTAGCTTTCCTTTGCATCACCGACCAATAAAAAATGATTTACAACATTTTAGCCAAATAATTAAATTAAATAAATATTTTTAAACTAATAGAGTTCAAAAAAAATTTCAATTTATCTTTTAATTAATCTAGTTTAATTTATAATTTGGTAACTTTTGACTTAATTTGACATTGTTCGTACTTAACTTGAGTTAATTATTTCCATCGACTTTCTCATCTTTGATTATTTGATTAACAAACTTTAATATTAAGAAAACTAGTTAACGAATTATAAATTAAAATTATTTTATTTTCAAATAATGTCACTAAAAAATGTCACTACTTTTCTTTAAAGTTCTTTAAAATAAAAAATAATTGAATACTCTGATATATAAATGTTATGGCAAGTTTTATGTACATATTTATATATTTTAGCAAAAATTTAATAGTTTTATACAAATTCATAAGCTAATGACAAAAAAATCATTTTTGGTATGATGTTTAATTCACTACTGGAAAATTCTACAGCATAATAAAAAATTATTATTATATTGTCCATTAGAAACAAATTAAAGTTTAGTAATCAATTAAAATTTATTCTTAAAAATATTTAACAGTTAATTTAATTTCATTACATAGCGTAACAAATTAGTATTAACAATGTTTGGTAACCAAATTACAAAACTTAAAAATACATATACAATCTTTGCTTTTACTTTTATACAATGTTGCACTTGTTCAATTCAATTATAATTATTAATTAGAAATATATTGTTACAAATAAACAAATGTTATTTTTACAATTTCAAACATAATAAATATTAACAAAATCAATTAATACCCACAGAGCATTAATATAACTCATGAATAAGAATATCATTTAATAATATAAATTAAGTAACATAAATATCATTCATTAATAGTATACTTTAATTAATGCTTAATTTTTAATTATTAGTGTTTTTATTTTGATACCTATAAAATTAGCTAGCTATTAATAAAATTTTATAGTGATTCATGTTTACAGTAAGAAAATTAATGGGAGTTATTTCATTAATATGTTATTGACTAAAACATAATCTAAAAGTATCTAATAGTTTCATTGGTAGTCTGAAAAAAGACAACTAATAACTATTACATATAGACATATAATTGTTCTAATATATCTTTGTCAATCCTAGAAATAAGTGAATGTTGAAATTGTTCTCCAATTTGATTTTGTAATGTAAGCAACTAAAATCAAAACATATTTCTACTCATATATCCACAGTGTTGGAGAGAATAATATTAAATCATAAAATTCACATTTAAGAAAATAATAATTAAAATTTATTAAATATGATTTAATTAACTAGATAAAATAAAAATATATCTGTTTAGTCTTTTTTTTTTTTTTTTTTTTTTTTAACGTAATAACAGTAACTTCTGTCTGCTTAAGGAAAATAATTTTGTAAAAAATGTATTTAAATTAAAAAAAAGTAGCTTCATTATTTATTTAATGAAATAACGAATAATAAAACTTTATTACTTTTGTTAAATAATTTATCTAACATTGCATATGTCGAGGGTTTAGGATTAGAGAAGCATATCTACCAATTTCTTACTTTTCAGAATAGTAAACTTAAATTTTCATTTTTCAATTAAACCAAATGAAATTTTTTTATTTCTTCTTCAAAAATAATTTCTTTTAATATAATTAATGGTTGTTATATTTTGCTTAAAATAGACTAGCAATCAATTTTGGTTAACAAATTCCTTTAAGACCCAGAATATAACAGTTCAAAAAATTGTGATAATTTATTGCAATAATTATTACAATGTTAAATGTATTTATATTTTAATTAAAAACATAAATATAGGGAATTAATGTATCATAAATAGATAGCTTGCTTTTTATTGAAACTAAAATAATCAACTTACTTGAGTCTGCAAATATTTGTGGAATGCAATGCAATGTACAGGATCTTTTAAAGAGAGACATCTTTGTCTTTCATTGTGTTCAGTTTCATACTGATATTCACATTCAGAATTAGCACGAGAACTAACATTGGAACAATCATCAGTCATTAACATAGAGCTAATATTAAAAAATATAATTTATTAAATAATAATGATTATTAATATAAGAATACTTTTCAATAAAAATTTTTGAATTGTAAATGTTGTTTTATTTAAAATTTTCTTCTTTTACATACTCTGTGTATACTCCATCGTCAGTTTTTCTCATTATGTCATTTAAAATTTCAACACAAATTGTAATAATTCCTTTAAACAATTCTAAAATGGGTCTAAAAATAAATTTAATGATTATAATAATAATGACTATTATAAACTTAATTTTACTAACTTTTTCTGACAAGTTAAAAGAGATGCTAGAGCTAAACCTAACAATTTTCTTTTATCATTTTGAGTTATTTGATTCATACGTTCTAACCAAACTTCAATAATTCTGTATAAAATTTTATCAAAATTTATTAGGTTTCCATTTTCTTGCATACACAAGTGTTCTACAACCTAAAATAATTGAACATTTAAATATAATTGACATAATATTGGAATAAAATTATCAATTAAATTTACTTGTATAAAAATGTTAGGATCATTTAATATCACTCTAGAAATTAATGATAATCGACAACTATTGACTGATATACCAATTTCACCAGAACATAAAGACCTAAAAAGATAGATTGATGCTTAGTTGACCAATCTCATTCATGAAATAAATTAAATAAATTTTTTTCTCGCATAAGCCTATTAACTTTTAAATTTTTTTTTTAATTTCAAACAAGATCATTATTCTATAAATATTGTGCAAAGTAAATTTTGAAATGCACTGCTCATTAAGCATTCTCTGTATTACTGGTACTTAGGACTGTATTTAAAAATAATTATTAATTAAAAATTAAAGAATTCTAATTTTTACTAGTTATCTATTAATGCGTTGAAATAATAATAAAAAAAGAACCCAAAAAGGTTTCAAATACGTATAAAAAATATATTTTAATTACTTTAAGTTTTGTCCTAATACAGCCATCATCAATTCAATAGTTTGTGGAAGATTGACTTTTACAATTGTTTCATACAATGATAAAATACAAACTATTCCTTCATCTTTTAGATCATTCATTAATGTAGTAGTTAAATTAAATATTTGAGTACCATACTCCTAAACAATTTAATACAAAATTACTCAATAATTAGATTGACGTTTCAACTAATAATTTTTATAATATAATTAATTTCTGAAAATTACATTAAGATCCAAATGAAATACTAAATTAACTATATATTAAAAACTGTATACCTAAATAAATTTAAGAAAAAAGTCATCATCCTCAACGTAATTGATTCTTATTTATTTAACAAAAAAACAGATAAAAATGTACTCACTACAATAATTTGGTGTAAATTTTGTAAATAATAAAATTAAAGTATTTCAGATAAACTACCCCTTTGTTTAAAAATACACACATCCATTATTAATGAATAAAACAAAAATATAAATTTGGTGTTTATACCAGGGTTATTTAAATTCTGGGTTTAATTATTTAAGCAGTTATTAAAACTTTACTATTATAACTGTATGTGAAGCATGGATCTGTTTATTTTTATCTGCACTACTTTAAAACACTGGTTCAAAAGTTATTATTGACCAGTTATATTCTTAGTTCCACAATTTTCTTATTTTTAAACACATAATATATAAGCATATTAGGTTTCCATTTAAAAAATTCAAGTTTGTACTATTTTAAAAGAGGGGATAAGACCAAATTTACTTGTTACAATAGGCAATTATTGCAAATTTTATTCTCCTGCCTAAATGGGCAATTTATTTAAAACATTAAATAGAAAAATAAAAAGTTCTCAATACTCGTGATTAAAAAAAAGACTTAAAATAGAAGTGTTAGACATATAAAAGTATAGCTAGAAAAAGGGAATTCAAGTTTTATATTAAGGGAAATTGTGCAAACTGGAGGTACAGAGTAAAATAACAAAATTCTTACCAACTTTTTCTTAAATATTCGTCATATAATTTTTTTTTATTTAAAACACCATTTTTCACAAAAAAAATATTTAAGAAAATTGAGTGGCTAGCATTAAAAGAATAATCTAGTATAATCATGAAGTCACATACTAGTTGGTATTTTAAGTTTTTATTAAAATAATAACATAACAAAACTGATAATAAGAATAAAAATTAAATCAGTTCACATAATAGTATTCTACATTTAAATATACTTACAGACATAACTCTTTCTGGTGCAATCAATACATATGCTTCAAGAATCATTAAACCAGTTTTCAAATGTTCAGTAGAATAATCTAATGGAGTATAATTATTATTTTCATCAAATTATGACTAATTTACTTAAACAAATAATTTTTTCACCTAATAAAGGAAGAAGATAATTTATTAAGCTAAGCATTTCAACATTATAAGTCGAACATGATTCAATATAAGAAAGTAAAAGTTCTAGACCATCTTCTTGCAAGTATATATAAGCTTTTTCTTTGATATCAACACTATATCGAATAATAGGAACTAAAAATGGTGTGAGTTCTGAACTTTTTGTTCGAATCGCCTGAATTTAACAAAAATTTATAAAAATATTTGTAAAAACATTGAACTAATATTTAATTTGTTCATTATTTATCATTTTTAAGTATTACTATAAACATACTCGAACAATTTGTGTTAATGTAGATATAATAGCACAACGAAGCATATGATGATCGTCAGATTCGGTCCATAGTTTAGGTAAATATTGAAGTAATGAGTCAAAATATGGCTCTACCATAGGACCTAAACGTTCTACCATAAAAGACATCACATGTAAAACATTTAACTGAAAATAAAATAAAAAATAAAAATCAACATCAATATTTTTAACTAGTAATAATACAATTAACTAAATAATATTGAAATTTAATTTGGTGCTAAACTAATATCTATTAAATACCAACAATTACTTAAAATAAATTATAGATAAAAATAACATTAACACACAAGGAATAATTCCAAGGACATTTAGACCATTCCCAGCATGAACATATGATTTTATGGATATATTAGATTATAAATTACATTTTATGTCTAAATAATCATCAACCCCTCAAGCTAACGACAGGTCTAGTCATAAAACTTATAAATAATTACCAAAATTGGAACAAAATATACACAGATGAGTCAAAGATGCAAGAAGAGTAGCTATAACTCTTTGTAAATTCTTGTAAAACCTATAAGCTACCAATGAATGTGTCCAATGAATCCCTGAAGAAAATATATTTTTTCTGAGTTTTTCCTCCTTTCTATCATTTACATAATACCTCAGTATGTATTAGGCAAGTATTTGGTCACAAACTAGCCAAGAGTTAAGTGATACAAAGAAATGGGCAGTATTACTCATGAAAGTATGTGTGAAGTGAGTTTATATATTAAAAAAACAGACTTATCAATGTAGATATTACTACTTTGATAGGCATCATTTTTTCCTTGTAGAGAGGGGTATTTTATAACTTGGCTTGTTTTACATAGTTATTTTTGTTTGATAATATTATTATTATTTTGTTTACTTAACGTTTATTAGAGTAATGTTTTATTTTTTTTACAAGTATATTATGCATTATAATTATACATTTTATATTACATATTATAATTAAAACATAATTTAAATTATCAATTTATTAAATAGTGAGTTTAGAAACTCCCAAAACGGCTTTAAATTTAAGAGAATTACAACTTTCAGATTTTTTTTACTTTAAAACCTATTCTTATTTATTGTATTATTTTTAGGATTTATAAGAAAAATGATTAAAGAAACCAAAATTATATCAATTTTTATTTTGGTTATTTTAAGAATTATAAATTTTGAGTTTAATTACACCTACGAAACCAATATCACTTATTTAGTATTTACAATAATTTTTTTTATAAATCCTAAAAAAATACAATATAGGTCAACTAAATTATTAGGTATAATAAAAATTGCAGATGAACCGAAATGATTTTGGTTCTATAAATAATACAATCAGTGCAAGAGGGCTATTAATTAAAATTTATGATTTTTTACATTTTAAGATAACTGACACAAAATGTATTATTTTCTATCTAAATTGCAAGCACGATCAATAAAAATTGTTTTCAACATAGTATAAATGGTAAATATACAAGATAAAACTTTAAAGTTTTTGTCTTAAAATATCTTTTTTGCGCTGATAGAAGGGTATGGTATATTTATTATTATATATGGTTCTTTAATCATCAAAATACCTTTGTATCACATTCTCGAACACTGATTAAAAGTTTGTAAAGTGAATATGCCATTGGTTCTAGATATTCTATAAAATGTTCAGAACTAAAATCAAAATCATCAATAGCACATCTTAAAGTTGATGTAGCTGCTAAACGAACAGCCATATCTTGTTCTGGACTTAACAATCCAATCAAAATATTGTAAAGCTCTGGCCTGTACTCTGGATTCAACCTTACAGTAAGCCACTGTCCAATAAGCCATGCAACACGTCTTTTTAAAACACGAGAGTGCCCCCGAGTTTCCATCAGTTCTTGACGTAGTGTTGTATTAAACCAATCATCAAAATTGATCTTAAATAGGTTAATATTATAAATAATTATCTTAAGATAAGCTTAATTTTTAAAAAAGTTTTTCTCACAATATCAAACATTTCAAAAGCTGTTAATCCAAATGCATTATAAATAGCATCTTTTTTTAAAACGGCTTCCAAATTGGTTGGATCCACAAAATCTCTATTAGATTCTATGGTAGCTGCTAATCTAGGAGTCAATAATTCTCTAAATTCATGAAATAATGACATGAAGAGAGATTCAGTACATGCCTAAAATTAAAAATAAAATGAATTAAGGATTGCACTATATAAAATAAAATTGTTGAAAAGAAATATCTAAAAATATTTCATTCACCTTTAAATTATACTTCCAATACTCTCCCACTTCATCAGTAGCTGAAACGTATAATGTAATTTGATAATTATTTTATAAAAGTACAAATGAAAAAATATTTTACCAAACATCTCAGGATCATTATCCCATATTTCCAATTCAGAAGGTGTAAGTATAAAGTACTTATATATTAACTGTTGGCACATGATCATTAATCTGTCTGATTTAAATACTGATGCTTTTTGTTGTACAGCTACAGCTGATATTCTTTTGGAGATTTCTAAGAAAAATAAAATAGACAGAATCACTGAAAAAATTAGTTAGTTGATTTGGGTTAAAAAGTAAATTTTACTAAAAACTTACCATCAATTTCACACATTGGACCATTAGTACGAGGTAATTTATACTGAGGACAAATTAATATTAACTTGGTTAGATTAAATAGTTGTATCAAGTATCTCTCAAATACAACATTATTTCCATCAACAGTAAATCCATAAAAATAAGCAAGTTCTACAGTTGGTTGTATAAAATCTACAAAATCAGCTGGATGCTCTTCAATAATAGTTATAAGCATTTTAAACATTCGACAAACAAATTTTTCAACTAAATCTGGGAAATAAAGACCTAAAAATGAAGGGGAAAAAAATAAATATTTTTAAATTAAATATATTACAAAAATGGCTTACGACAAGCAACTATAGGTCGAACTTTATTGAATACGGCTAAAATAAATTGTTTAACTTCGTCGGGATATGGTGATTTAAAACCATATAGTACGAAATTTGACAATATTTTTTGGGTATAAAATGCATCTTCTAAAAGTTTTGCTACTTCTGGTGACACATTACCTTGTTCCATCTTAAAAAATTTAATTAATAATAAAAATAATTTTATTGAACAATAAAAAACAAATTTTAACATTACTTTATTAATGAAATCATTAGTTCTTTGCTCCCAATGACTATAAAAATTAGGGAAGAGTTGACTAGAGGCATTTTGAAATAATCGAATACTATCATATAGTCTTTTTCCCGATAAAGATTTGACAACATGATGCATAGACAACAGCGCTCGATTTTGAGTATCATATTTAATACGTTCCATTAATTCTGGCATTAAGTCTTCCCAATCATATGGCCAATCTAATCTAAAATATTTTAATTAAAATATTATAATCAATATTATAAAACTAGAGGGCAAGCATACCAACCTAGCAACTCTACCAATAATTACGCTGACTTGGGTTGCAAGTCGAGGAACTGGTTCAGATAAGTTTGTAAGTAACATTTTCCTAAGATTATCTTTTTCACTATCAGAAATAGCACTACAAAAACAAACAAAATATTGTTATTTATTATTTATTATAATAAAATGTTTCACTAATTTACTTATTAACATTTTTTCTCCAATATTTTTCAACGCCTTGTTTGAAACATAAGATTGCCATCCATCTCACATTGATATCCAATGACTGATTAGAAAATATTCTCTACAAAATATTACACATTTTCAAACTTTTAATTGTAAAAACAATATTAATTTAGACTCACAAACAAAACTGAATAAAACCCAGGTTCTATTTCCCATTCTTTTAATTTTTGTTCGGCTGGTTTTAACATGTCAGGGTGTTGACTGCTAGCTTGCAATAATGTTTCATAAACTAACTGTTCGATTTCCATCTTAAAAAACTTAAAAATTTTGTCTAATAAAAAACAGTTAGCTTGATACCTATATAGAATAAATATAGAAACAAATTCAATTATTTATATTTTTCACGCATCATTTAATGATATGAAAGTCATAATTTTCTACAAAAAAGAAAAATAATCTATTTTGAACTCGTAACATTTTCAATATCTGTAATATGTGAACATAAGTTAAAATTGAAACATAGATTTAATTCATTCAAGTTTAATGAAGATGCTCAAATTTTATTAAAATAAAGTTTTGTTTCTCGAATTATTATTTTTATTATAATTTCTAGATTAAATATTATTTATATAAGTATAATCCCTAACAATTTTTTAAATTATATTTAAAGAAACACTAAATCAGTTATAGGTTTAATTATACATGGTATAAATACAATTATATAAATTATATATTCAATGATAATATAATTTTATTAAATTTTTAAGGATATATATTACATGTACATAAATTTCATATAAATAACGATAGCTAACAAAATCAATATTTTATTAATAAGTTATTATCATAACTTATTGAACATTTTATTGAGTATTTTTTACTAACACACATGAATAATCCATTTCAATTAATTGCAGATCATAATTATAGTATTAATTAAAAAAAAAGCATCCTACATAATTTTGAATACATTTTGATTAATAATAGATATAACAAGTTAAACCCACTTACTGAGCATTTAAATATAACACAAAAAAGTTTTCAGTTATGTAATAATACTAAAGTTGTTGTAGAAAATATTAAAACAACATTCATTAGAAAAAAAAATCACATCATTACACATTAATTTATTATATATTATTATCACAAGTTTAAGATTACTGATCAATACGTTGAAGTTTTTTAAATGTTTCTATCCTAACCTATTCCACTCAGAAACGGCAATGTAGACCAGTGATGCCCAAAAATTACTTAAACGCAGTATGATCAATAGAAAAGTTGTATCCGTGGTGAATGAATAATGATTAATATATGCTATAAACAACATATTGTTAAACATAAACAAAATTAATATTAAAAATAAAACAATACTTATTTAACTAAAATTTATTGATGTAGTTTTTAGAATTATTGGAATTTATTTATCAAATATTGGTAGAAGGTCAATGACTGGCTGGCATAAAAACATCAGCCATAGCCAATCATTTAAAATGCCGGAAAACCAAATGGAACACATTAAACGGTCAACTACTCACGAAACATACCAGCAATGTAGATCTCAAGAGTCTAATGAGTATTTCGAAAACCAAGGTAAAAATTAATAAAAGCATTTTAATATGAAACTTCATGTAAACACTATGATTTTACATCATGCTTATATTTAAACTGTGATTACTAATAATTACTAAATACTCAACTGTTATTGAGTAGAAGTAATTTTTAATTACCTGTTAAAAAAAATATCCTTGAACGATGAAACTGATCCAAATATAAAACATATATGTATCCTACATATATTCCATCTATACCCGTAACATAAGTTCTTATGTGTGGTGGACTTATTGTAAACACGTTAATTCAGGGGAATGGATCCAATGATGTAGTCTACACAAATTTATATTATACATGTGAGGGCACAAGCCTATTTATTAATAACATAACACATTAACCAATTTATATATGAATTGAATTACAATTATGAAGAATTTAACTGAAATATTGTCTTCGTTGGTTTGCAAATCGTACAGATGATAGTACAAGACACGTTGGGACCACAGTCACATCGCTGAGACTCTTTAGTCGATGGTCTTAGTGTCGGTTATCTTACCTATCCATAGTGAATGCAAACCGTCGGTTTTCACCTGTAATCAAACCTCTTTAAAATTATAAACGCCACTACAATACATTATTAAAACACTTTTATGCATCATTCTTTTAATAATTCGGCTCGTTGTTTCATTAATTTGTTCGATTTTTGATTCGATATCGTGATGTTATTTTTGTACTTAAAACTGCCATAACTTATTGCATAATAAACAATCTGATACAGTTACTTGAGAAAAACAAATTATTGAGTGAGAGGGAAAACAGGGTCTTCAACCCTTATATAATGTTCCATGAACGGCACAAACGGATATTGGGCCGTCTTGAATGTGTCATACTTTTTGTAGACACATTCAGTCATCTGTCTGTAATCCAATCAACCCAAAAGAGTTATTACAATTCATTTTCCTTTTTTAGTACCGTTGTGGTGCCTCGAAGATGCTAAGAAACACAATAACTCATGGCTAATTGCAGAAGTCAGAATTAAATATATTATTGTGTTAGTGTATTCTTTTCTCTGGTTTGAAAAATATTAGAGGTATTGATTTTGTAATATTCGAGAGGAGAATATTATATTAATAAAAAAAACCCAGCACAGTGGGGTCGCGGCTCAGTGGGAACGTGGCATAGTTGGGTCATGTGTAGTGATATCTGACTATGATTAAAATCACTATCATAAAAAACGCTTCGATGCAAATCTTTAGATAGTGTTTAATTTTAAAAAATTGGTGGATTATTCCAAAAGCTATATGATTTGCTATTTCCTTATTAATATCCTGATTAAGATAAAGTATGTCGAATGAAAAAGGGATATATTTGTGTTGATCCATACACTTTTCAATAAGTTATAGCATTATAAAGTTAAAAATATAAAAAATAAAATCGAGAATTTTCACACGAAAATAGCATTCGGTAGCCATTTTCGCCGTGAAGACAAGTCCAGAGGTCAAATTTTTTTCATAATAAAGTACATTACATTAGCTTTAATTTATAAGCTAAGATATATATAAAAGTGTCAGACCTTCCGGAACATTTTCAAAAGTTAATTTTTTGTGAAAAAGTTGTCATTTTAAATCCTTCCCTGTGGGCAGATAAAGGGTCAAATTTACAAAAAAAATATACCAAATGATAGGAAAGACATCAAGCATCTATAAAAAAAAAATTATATTAATATGTTCATTTTTGAGAAAGTTACGGCAGTTTTTAGTAAAAATAATTGAAAAAATTTCGAAAATTAGCGATTTTTAAATTTGTAATTTTTTTGGAGGTTTCCCCATTTACGGGGAACGAGGAAAATTTTTTCAATTTTTAAGGGTAATGTCTTCGACTAGATACGATTTGTGATATTTTGACGTATCATTGAAAGAAATCGGTTCGGTGAGAGCTGAGAAAAAGTTGTAACAGATACAAAAAAAAAAAAAAAACACAACAACAATAATAAAATGAATATTTTCTCAGCTTCGCATCGAAGCTAAAAAAATGTTGGTTAGTATTAAAATATTAAAACGAAAGTATTTGCAATCAATATATTATATTAAGATATATTTTATAGTTAAAACCTTAGCCTTATACAGGTAATACGTAGATCCAGTACTTATTGAAATGCTTTTAAATCTAAAACAATAATATCATGGTTTTTCTAATTGAAACTAAATATTTCACTATAATTTAATATAAGAAGACAAAAAAAAGAAAGAATTTGAAGAATATTTATGGAAGAGTATAACTGAGCAAGTGTTAAAAGAAAATGAGGAAAAAGCTAAAACGTTTTGTGCCAAGCAAAGTCAATTTGAAACTACTTATGGAATTTCATACCAAAAAGATGGATTTAAAGTCACGGAACTTGGAGAAACATTAGACAGAGAAGTATGCCTAACACTTATATTAAATACGCTCTCATAAAATAATTTTAATAATTAATCTCAACCTACAACCTCACAAGAAGAGGGTTCGCTAAGACATCCATAGTTATCCAAGCTTCTCAGAAGGCTTCTATTAAATTTTGATCATTTGGTATTAAAAAAAAAATTGAAGACCTTTTTTAGGCCCAATATCCCAAAAAAAGCACAAAAATTTATATAAAAGACCTGTCTACAATTTTTCAAATTACAGTAAAAAGTACGAGAACAAGTCAAAAAGAAAAAATACAAATATTTTAGCTCTTTAAAAAAACATATTTAGAGTGCGTACTTTTGGAATATAATTACTATATACTTCTCTTTGACGAACTTACTGTCCAATGTTATCCATTTTGTACACCTAAATAATTTTTGAAAATTTCATATATTGTTAAAAAAAAAAAAGTATTTTAAAGGGTAAACACTTTACCTATGATGAGATCTTCCAAGATGATGTACATTACAATGAGAACAAAACTAATTTTTAAGTGAGAAATAGGATTGAAAGTTGACGATGACTGTTGAAGTATAATAGGTGATTAACTTTACATAAAACAATAACTTTACAAGTAATTAACATACATAATTTTTTTTTTTTTTAGAAGTTAATAGTATCTTATGTTCTATAATTTTTAAAAATTTACAACTTTGCACTATCACCTTTTTGGCTTCCTCAACTTTCGAACCAGTATTTTGGAGTTTTTAACATTTCAAAATAAAGGTTAAAAGTAGGCGCGGGTCTGATTATTTTTATTATTCTTCGCCACACTACTACTCGCGTCTAAATATAATAATAATATGGTAATAAATAATATATTAACACTAGTTAAATTTGTATTTGAATTAATACAAATTCAAGCTAATATAGGTTAAAAAATAAGAACTAGTGTTTAGAAAAAATTTATAATTTTTATACCAAGGTTATAAATTATTATAGATAAAAATAAACAAACCCACGCTTCACCGACAGTCATGATAGTAAAGTGTTAATATATTCTAAAATATTAATCATTCATCCTACATAATTATTTACCTGTAATACTTATTCTAGAAATTTTATCAAAATATAAATACTTTTAAGTCTCATAAGGTGTTTGTTTTCTTTCTTTTTGATTTTCCCCTAATATATAACCATATAAAATTTCAAATATTGAAATTTTTTTGAAATATTGTACAATTAATACATTAAATACAATTTTTTTTTTAAATATTCCAAAACCCTCTACTCGCTGAAATTTTCAATAAAACCCAGGTTTTAAACAAATTTAGTGTAATTACCAAAAGTACAATACGGTTTTATTCATTAATAATGAATAATATCAATAGGATTTCATTTTCTCTCAGGTAAACTTGTTTTTATTTTTTAATGCACAACCCATTGAATTTTAATAAGCCTTTTATTAACATCCTTGCATTAAAATGTATATCACAAATTTTTTTCACAATTAACGTGGGCTATAGATATTTAAAAAATTAAATTAAGTTTGTTATCAATCCAAACGACATTGAATTCTTTAATATGATCGTCTCTCATTAGATTTATCATAATTGAAATAACTGAAATCAAGTCTTTTTTATTAATTTAAAATATTTTTCTAAAGGATAAAATCTTTAAAAAGATGTGGGGCTCTCTCTTCTGATTCCAAATCTAGAATTCTGGCTTTAAACATTTTAAATCACGTCTGGTTTTTAAGATAATTACTAATTAGTAATTAAACAATTCAATTTTTATAAATATTTTTATTTTTAATTATTAAATTATTATTGTTTTAACTGAAAAATATATTTTTTTCAACTTATCTAATATAATACGATAATGATAAAAACGTATGTGTTTAATGTATTTTTTGACGCTTATGACAGTGGTGTAATTAGAATTAGAATATAATAATCATTAAAAAAAAATTAGTTCTTTTTTCAAACTGAATAACCAATTGTAATTTTCAAAATATTAATACATCTAGTTAAATGACTAAATAACCAAGTGTCTTAAGTCACATCTAATTAACACTATTTTCATAAGCGTCAAAAAATATATATGACTGTAAAATTATGTCATTCATCCAAAAAACTGAAAAAATATTTTTTCGAATTTTTGAGCTTTGTATACATTTTATTTACATAATTTCCTGGTTATTATATGAGTTATTTTAAAAATATATATGAACGGTTAAACGTGACGGATAAATCTAATAATTTTAAACAACTTTTTTAACATAATTTAATTATATTTTCAGTTTATAATAATGATTTAAATGTTTAATTAGTACTTGATTACTAATTAATAATTATCTCTAAACAGACGTAATTTAAAAAACTGAAGCAATATTCAGAATGAGCGTCAAAATTTCATGTAGAATTCATCTAAATATTGTTGACAGTAAAGTCCTCGTTTTCCTGTGTTATTTAACAAAAATATAAGTCAATTTACTAAGATAGTATAATAAATTCTACTATATATATTTTTATTATGAAATTACACAATTTTTTAATTTTAAGTTATGTGCTAAGTATCCTTTGTATGGCACGGTTGGGATGTCTATACCCGTCAGAAGATACGAATGTCAAAAAATTAAACAAGCCATTCATAAACCATTGGATGAATTATTTAAGAAAAATACAGGTTTTACAAATTAACAGAATCACAATGAATCATCAATAAGCAACCATTTTTTTAAGAAATTGTATCTAAAAGTTGTAATCCCGCGAAAAAAAATCTTATGTCCGATCAATATGTTTGTTTTAGTAGAAAAATGTATTATTTAGTTATGTAATATACAAAATATTTTCAGTAATTTTAAATTTATTCTNCATTAACTATACAAAATATTTTCAGTAATTTTAAATTTATTCTGTTTGAAATGGAATTAAAATTTATTTAATGTAAATAGGTAGAATTATTACATATATTACTTTATTTTTAATTTTATTGCTAAGTAAGTTACAAATAAAAGACATCAATTTAAAACACTCTTTTATACTTTAATAAATTAGATACTCAATTAAAAAACACACACATACACACAAAATCAGGGACCATTAATTAATAATTTACCACATAAATCATTAAAATAACTTTTCACTCAATTTTTTCAATTTTGGAAATTGGTCTTAATGAATTATATGACTCATATCCAAAGCTAATAGATGACAAATTATTATTAGAGATTTTTTTTATAAATTTCATAGAGGAAGGTGTTATTTCTTATGTTCCAAAATTTGTTAAGTCAATTTTATCCTTTTAATTTAAGGTTTATTTTTTACATCGCAAGTGAGCTTTTTGTCGGTCTGCAACAACAACGTGGTTTGCCACTTGCTAACGACTGGTGTTGTGTATTGAATAGTGATAAGCTTTACGATTGTAATATAGTAGTAGTACCGGTTTACACCCGGCCCAGATAACATGTGACACACGCGCGAGTGCCCAATTATAATGTAAATTTCATCAATAAAGTTTTAGTAAAAGTAATTGCGGTGTTAATTATTTCACTAAGTAAACTCACAAAACATTGGTCCTTCGAACCAATGATTGAATGAAAAAAATTACTTATTTTGGGTAGTGCGTTTATCTAGTGAATGCCAACCTCGTGGCAAAGTGCGGTCTTGACTTAAAAGTATTAAGTCGAATTTAGGGTTTAAACTCGTGCGTTCAACTCTATTGTGCGTATAAATTTTCAACTTGGATTACTTGAAAAAAAAAGGGGATTAAGCAATACTAATTACGGTAAAATATTAGTATATTTATATATATGTGCATATTCTGTATACAGTTCTTTTGATTTGATTGCCTAAAAATACTCATGCGTAAAATCCATTTTGTACAAATACCTTTGTTGGTATCGTAAATTATATTGGAGCGAAGAAAGCGATAGTGTAGTAGAAATAACAGGCAATTCCAATTCGGGCGTATTATTAGTATGTAAAAATACAATGGCTGAATTAGCGAGTCTTGTCTCTCAGAAACGGAAATTGGAAGGCCGCGTCACACACCTTGCTACTTATATGCAAGACGACAATGGATGTTGATCAGCTTGCACTTCGATTAGAAAAGGTAGTGAAAACATGGAACGATTTTGAGGAAGTGCAGGCGCAAGTAGAAGGGTTAACTGATGATCCAGTTATTACGATGAAGTATAGAGAAGAATTCGAAGATTTATACTTCATGAACGTCGCTTGTGCTAGGAAAATTTTGGCAACAGGTGGTAGCACTTTGGACACCTCTGTGAGGGGAGATAGTCTTCCCACGGGTGGACGATGGGAGCCACTATTAGGACCTATTGAAATGGCAATAAAATTAGCACCACTTTTTATACCACATTTTTCTTGTTCATATACCGAGTGATCCGCGTTTGAAGGAATATTCAAAGCAATTGTGCATGAAAACACGGCCTTATCGGACATACAGCGGTTTTTCTACCTGCGATCATCTCTAACAGGAGAGGCGGCCAAGGTAATTCATAGTTTGGAAACCACTGCGGCGCATTATAAAGTAGCATGGAGTAGGCTAACGGAGCGCTATAACAACCGTAAAGTGCTAATTCAAGTTCATGTGCGCGCCCTGTTTGATTTGGAGCCACTAAAAAGAGAATCAAGTTCTGCGTTACGTGGGTTAACTGACACAATTGTTAATCATATAAATGCGTTAGAAATATTAGGTCAAACGCCCCAACAGTGCGGATCCATTTTAATACATTTAATTATATCGAAGCTAGACCCAACTTCAGTGCGGAAATGGGAAGTTTTTTCCGCGGAAGAAGAATAACCAGAAGTACAGACTCTTTTAAAGTTTTTGAAATCTCGTTTTCGAATTTTAGAGGCTGTTAATATGGGAAAACAGGAAAAAGAGTTCAAAGAGCCTATAGCAAGAAATAAATTTGTTAGGTCTAACGGATTTGCAGTTACGAGCAGTGGCGCAACTAGAGTTCAAATCTTGGGGGTGCTACAATTACAAATCACATACACATTACATATTTACTAATTATTTACAGTAATTACTAATTAGTATTAGTTATGTAATATATAATTATAAAATATAATAAAGATTTTGTTACTTACAGTCCTTATAACAATTTCAATTGGTATATACAAATAATTTATTTACAATTGTTGTTTAAAGTATTAAGAATATTTTTGTGTTCAATTGTGCGTCGTGGTAATCTTCGTTGGTTTGCTATATGCAAGTATAAGTAGTTTAATAATTACGTCTTTTCGTATATTAAGTCGTACTATCTTTTATATAATTTGTTTTTTAATAATATTGCTACTATCAACATACGCTTTAAAACATTAGCTAATTTCTTTTTCCACTTGTTAGAGACTAACCTCTAGAGGCTTACTTTGAAGAATTTAACCTCTAGTACTTTTTCTGATATGTCTTCTCCTAGGGCAACCAATGCAACTTCAAAAAAAGTTGCTGTCCGTTCTGGTGTTAGTACGAGATGTTCAAGTACTACTTCAAATGAAGATTTAATGCAAATTATTTTGTTCTTCAAAGCTGAAGTCCTCGCTTCCAATAAAGCACTTTCTGACTCGCAATCTTTGCAGTTCAATACACTTAATGCAGAAATATTAAAAGTTTCTGAGCAAGTGAGTGAACTCAAAGCAGAGAATATAATACTCAAAAGAGATATTGGTTCACTTAAGGCAAAAATTAGAAGTCTTGAAGAGAACAACTCGTCTGCTAACCCATCCACAATCACTAGCCAGGTTTTGTAAGAACTATTTGAACGAGATCGTTGTTCTTCCAATGTGATTGCTTATGGTGTATTAGAGTCTACTTCTTTAACTGGTTCTGAGAGAGTTCTACATGATGAATCCATGATTAAAAATATTTTGTTGCCGGTTAGAAATTCCTTCCAACAAATCGGATTGGGAAACCACGTCCAGGTATTACCCGCCCACTTAAGCTAATATATACTAACAAAGAGGAAGCACAATTTTTGCTGTACCATACAACCAGGTTAAGCGGTCAGGTACTCAATTCCAAAATGGGTTTAATCTTGTCAAGGATAAAACCAAATTTGAACGACAACTATTACGTGCTTGTCACAATGATTTGTTGTCTCGTACAGCTCAAGGTGAAACAAATCTACGTATATATTATGAAAATGGTGTTCCATCTGTGGTCAAATCAATTCCAAAAAACCGGGTCCGTGAAAACATACCAATCGACAACCAGAGATTCAGCAAATTTCTCAACTTTCATAGTTCAGCCTTGTACACTAGGTTTGCATGAGCATATATATTTTTATAATAAATGCCAAGTCCACTCTTAGTACTTTTATATTAGATTTCTACAATTTTAAAATTAATAAGTCTTGTCCTCGTGATTTACCTACAATTAGCTATACTACTTCGAATGATAATGTTCCGTTTGGTTTTTACCAAAACTGTCGTGGTCTTAGGACTAAATTTTTTACTCTTAAGTGTAATCTTGCCAGCTTTAATTATGTATTTCTTGTTTTAACAGAAACCTGGCTTAATTCTGATATATTTGATTCTGAATTATGTTTGGATATATATAATGTTTACCGATGTGATAGAAGTATTTTAATGAGTAATTGTACTAGAGGTAGTGGTGTCCTTATTGCTGTGCATAAAGATTTTCATTCACAAATTGTTTCTATCTCTAATTTAAGTATTGAACAAATTTATGTTAGTTTTAGTTGTAATAATGACAATTTTATAGTTGATGGTGTATATTTTCCTCCTAACTCTCCTAATCAATCCTATGATACTTATTCTAGCACAATTAAAAATCTAGTTTGTTGTTATAGCACCCATAGTTTTATTCTATAGGTGACTTTAACTTACCTAATATTAATTGGTCTAATGATAATTTAGGTATTTTCTATTCAATGGCTACCGAAAACAGCCTATTCTGAGACTTTTGCTTTCTTAAACTTTTATCAAGTTAATAATGTTTTGAACGTTTACAATTTAATGTTAGATCTTATATTTACAAATAAGAATCTCTTTAAAGTTAATATGGTGCACGATCCAATTGTTCTTGAAGATCGATATTATCCTGCATTAGCTATTGATTACCCAACAAATAAAAAAATCCATTCTTTCATGCCGTTGAATCATATTTTAATTTTACGAAAGCAGATTATACACGTATTTCAGATTTTTTCCTATCTTATAATTGGTTGAATACTTTTACTCAACTAGGAGTTAATTCAGCAACATCAACTTTGTATGATGCATTACACTTCTCTATTCTTCACTGGGTTCCACGTGTTAACTATAATAAATCTAATTTTCCTTGATGGTTTTCAAAGGATTTGATTGATACAGTGTTCCAAAAAAGAAAAGCCTACGCCATTTTTAAGATGTTAGGGACTTATTTAATAGTTGAGGATCTTGGTCAAAACCAAGAATCGGAAGCTATTAGGGTTTGAAAAGTGTAATATAGAATTAATATTATTGTTTTCTGTTATAATTATTAAGCCTAAATCAAAATAATTTGTGACGGCTGCTAAGTCTTCACTTTCTAAATAAATTGGCTTATCAGACAGATCGATTCCTAATAATTTTTTAATTTCATAAGCATTAATATCTATACCTCTATTATTTAAGATTGCTTCGAGTGTTGATACTCCACACCAACCGTCTGGTGCTACTTGTGTTAAAATGTCGCTTTTCGCGGCAATTTCACTAACACTCAACTGTACAAGATTTATTGAATGATTACTCATGAGTTTGATAGATTTTAAGTTGTCGAATTTTTTTGGTTGATCAATATTTGTATTAAATGT